TAAAAAAAAAAATAAAATTAAAAAATACTAACAAAATAAAACATTAAATAAAAAAAAAAAAAAAAAAAAATTCAAAATATTAATACAATAACATCACAAAACACAAAAAACAGTCATGGATCATTCAGGTAATGACACAGAGTATTTAGAATCAAGGGTATTATATTTCAGACCATTTACCAAACAATATTTTATTTATATTCACCAGTTACAGACAGTAACAGACCAGTATTGCTGAGCTAAAGCCCTTGTGGTTTCTGTATCAGCAGTGTATGTTTAAACTCAGTTTGTAGTGATGTATAGAGCAGTGCAGGTCGGTTCATCTGCTCTTTTTTTGTTAAATGAGCTCCATGATGAAGCACTCAATGTTTCCCAGCTGAGCACAGATGTGTTTTTCAGAGCCATGTCCTCAGGACGGCTGCGCTAACGTCTCTTGTCCCGTGGGCCTCGTCAGACATAGCTGTGCGCCGTGCCCTTTGACCTGCGCTCACGTATCCGGAGCAACAACATGTGACCACAACTCCAGGTGTTTCACAGGTGAGCCATTAACAATGCTTTACCTCTCTAAATACTTCACAGCTTCTTTAATGTCACTGATGGCCATTCATAAATGCCAATGCTGTGGTAATATAAATACAAAAGATTGTTTTACTGTACTGTATATTCGTGGTTGTCTGTTTCCTCATTGGTTCTGTTGTTTCCCATCAGGCTGCTGGTGTCCTGATGGGACGGTCATGAATCACGAGCAGCAGTGTGTTCGGCCGGAGGAGTGTGTGTGTGAGGTGTCTGGGGTTCGATACTGGCCCGGTCAGCAGGTCAAAGTGGGCTGTGACGTCTGTGTGTGTGAGCAAGGACAAGCCCAGCGCTGTCACACCAACCCAGAGTGCTCAGGTAAACACACACACTCAAATAAACACACACTCACACACTATGTTAGGTTTCTATGAATTGTGGGACTTTCCATAGATGTCTATTATTTATACTGAGCAAACGATATCCCCTAAACCTACCCTTTACAGAAAACCTGTTTGCCTTGTTACACTTTCAGATATACATCATTTAGTATTTTCAATAATTTTTCCCCACAATGTCAGAAATTTCAAGTTTTACTATCCTTTGGTTCCCGCAATGTAGGATAAACAAGAACACACACACGCAATCACACACACATTCACTCACACTCATTTAATAAAACATCCACATGTTCATGCTTCTCTGATGTCAGTTAATGGTCACATGACATGCAGGTACACAAATAAAATACTTTATCATTTTTAGTGTTTTATTTGATTTGTTGAAAGTGTTTTATTTCAGTGTATTTTATATGAAAGTAATTTATTTTAATTTTTTATTATTTCAATAAAAAAAAATTTCATCAACCCATATGCCCTGTGTAATTCCTATGTATACATTATGCTAATACTTGTTAATTTGTTTTTAATTGATGGTGATTTTAATTTAAATTGTTTTTAATTGACGGTGATTTTAATTTAAATTGTTTTTAATTGATGGTGATTTTAATTTAAATAGTTTTTAATTGATGGATGTAAGTTTTTTTTAATTTATGCTGATTTTAATTTCTTTTAAGTTGTTTTAAAAATGAATATTTTACTGTAAATATGCTTAATTATTATTAAGTCATGTCAATGAAAAAAACTAAATATTCATTTTATTTACAATTTAGAAAAATAATTTTATTTATGATCAAGAAATTAATATTGAAATAATTTAACAACAATTTTGCATGTTCACGGTTCTCTGATGTTGGTTAATGTTCAAATAACATGCAGGTAAACAAATATAATGTTAAGTATTTTTTATTAAGAGTTTTATTTAAATTGTTTTTTTTTGTTTTTTTTACAGTTTAATGAATTATTAGCTTTTCATGAACTCACAAACTCCTTACAGACACATAAGTCTTTTTTTTTTTTAAATAGCCAGTAAACTTTAGTTTACATCACAAACCAGCCATGATTTGGTACTTGCTATTGCTTAAATGTTATGATTTTCTTTCTGTTTCTTGTTAAAGTGTGTCCTGCAAGGTTTTTAATCACTGCACATGTGTGTTTTCATCAGTTCACTGTGGCTGGTCGTCCTGGTCTCGGTGGGGCGAGTGTTTGGGTCCCTGTGGAGTTCAGAGCGTCCAGTGGTCTTTCCGCAGCCCGAATAACCCCTTAAAACACGGAAACGGCCGACAGTGCCGAGGAATTTACCGGAAAGCACGACGGTTAGTATTAATATGTTGCAAAGCATCCTGAAGATCTGGGAAATGTAAAACACACATCTGCCCTTTTGCTTTAGCAGATGTTTTGATTAGTCACATTAATGCATTCAGCAGATGCTTGTGTCCAAAAACTACATTATACATTTGATTAATACAAGCTTTCCCTGGAAATCGAACCCATGACCCTGGCATTTCTAGTGCAGTGCTTTAGCGGATGTTTATGATATTTTTCATGCGGTTTGTTTGTTCTCAGCTGTCAGACGGAGCCGTGCAGTGAGTGTGAATATCATGGACACGCACATGCGGTGGGAGAGCGCTGGAAAGGCGGTCAGTGTCAGATGTGCCAGTGTTTGCCTAACCTCACGGTGCAGTGCGTCCCGTACTGTCCTTACGCTGCCACTGGATGCCCACAGGTGTGTGTGTGTGTGTGTGTGTGTGTGTGTGTTAAAAGACACTTAATATTCAGTAATATTATTGATTTAACTGAACTGACCCTGTCAGATGAGAATAAAACAAAACTCTCCTGAATCTGCAGGAAGTTTGTGAGTTGATGAAAAGCTAATAATTAATTCAATTGTAGAAATGTAAAATTAAATAAATTAAAAATATTAAACAATTTATTTGTTTACCTGCATATCATTTGAACATTAACTGTCATCAGAGAACCATGAACATGAAACTGTTATTTAAATTTAATTATTATTTAAATATTCATTTCTTGATCGTTAAATTATTGCCTCATTCCTGAAATTGTATTTATTTCATAATTAATGAATTTTTCAATGTTAATATTGTTATTTTTCTGTTTATTACTCTGAAACAGGCTGTTTTTAATATAAATGAATGTGAATTAATTTGTTCAGTTACACCACAAAACACAGAAATCAAATGACAATTTGATTTTAGTTTTTGCATTAAATTGATAGTTATTGCGTTAACACTTTTTAATAAGGTTCCATTTGTTAACCTAAGTTAATTCTTTAATTAACAGTGAAAAATACTTCTAAAACATTCATTAATCTTAGTTAATGGCAATTGCAACAATTTCTAATGCATCACTAAAATCAAAAGTTGTGTCTTTTAATATTATTTAATGGACCTGAGCTAAAGTGAAATACTAGTTGTATTTTTATTAACTTACAAAGATTAATAAAGACTATAACAAATAGATTGAGCTTTGTTAATGCTATAACTAACATTAACTAATGGGACCTCATTATAAACTGTGACCGATATTGCATGTTCAGGTTTAACTGGGTAACATTTTTTTCTCTGTTTCAGGGTCATATTCTGATTCCAGGGGAAGGAGACAAGTGTTGCTATTGTGAAGAAGAAGGTTTAACATATTTGTCATAGTTATTATTTTATACTTGTGGTTTTTGTATTCATAATAACACTAGATTGATCATGCAGTCAGAATGCGCTGTTGTTCATGCAGAAGTCTGCTGTGTTGTGTTGTGTTGTGTTGTCAGGTAATGGCAGCACTATCATGACGACTACACCAATGATCCTGCCAATAACACTCGGACCCTCCACACCACCAGAGGGCCCTCCGACCGTCCCGACGTACCCTCTGCCACCTGCAGGTCCGTTTCATTCAAACACACATCAGTACCAGTGTTGCCAGCTTAGAAATTTTGTTGCTACATTTAGCAACTTTTCAGATTACGCTAGCAACTTTTTCTTCCAAAAGCACCAAGCAACAAATTTAGCTATTTTGAAAATTTATTTGACAACTTTTAGCAACTTTTGATAAGTGACTCATACAATAAAAAGGCAAACATTTTCCATCTAAATTACACAAAAAGAGGAAATCAATTCTTAATTTTTTTTTCTCACAGGTGCGAGTTTATATCTCGCAATTCTGACTTCTTTTCTCAGAATTTCTCAGAATTGTGAGATATAAACCCACAATTGTGAGTTATAAATTCCAGTTCTGAGGGGGAAAAAAGACTGACTTTTTCACAATTCCGACTTTATAGCTTGAGAAAAAAGTCAGAATTGCAAGTTTATATCACACAATTCTTAGAAAAAAAAGTCAGAATTGTGATAGAAGTCGTCGTAATTATCTTTTTTATTTTTTATTCAGTGGCAGAAACAGGCTTCTATAGACTCATGAACAACCATCACAAAACAGAAAAATAGTCATGAATCATTCTAATGTAAAGACACAGTATTAAGAATCAAAGATAAATAAACTTTTGAACAGATATTTTTTATAAATTCAGCTATTAATTTGCCGCGTGAACTACAGTATATGTAAATATGTTATGTGAAACGGCATTAAAAAAAAAATGCGATGTTTATGATTCCTCTAATTTTGTTAAAATAATTAACATTTTCAGAGATTCTGCAAGGGTAATTCTATAAACTTTTGAGCAGAACTGTGTCATTTTTAATGCACATGGTCAAGAAAACTACTATAAATCACTTGCAAATACACATTTTTATTATGAAAACTCTTTAAATGCAGTACTAATTATGTGAAGTATTATTCATGTATATTGTATAATATAAAGATGTTTTATTATATTTATTTATTTAGTGTTTATTTATTGATTTAGTCTTTGATGCGTCCGAGTCATTTCTAACGCTCTATTTTCACATACTGTATTCTGTATGTTGTTTTATAGATGAGTGTTGGTCCGCTCTGGGCGTTCTCTCGCTCCCCGCCAGCAGCTTCAGCGCCTCGTCCCATCAGCCCGGTCACCCTCCGTCAGCGGGACGTCTGCACGCTCGGGACCCCCACAGCGACCTGCAGGGCTGGAGCCCGGAGCCAGAGGAGTACAGAGAGCTCCCGGCCGGGACCCCTGAGGAGCACAGACACTCGTCACGCGGGCCGTACCTCCAGATAGACCTGCTCAGACACTACAACATCACAGGTCACAAACAACAGCTCATTTAAGAACATATAGTCAAAGAGTCTGCTGTTCACTGAAGCTGAGGTCCGTTAGAATGTTGATGATATTTGAAAATGATATAGTTCACATCGATTTTAATTTTACTGTACTTTAGTGACATAACAGTGCTGTATATTTAAATGTCCAATGCATTTACAAGTTATAGTCTGCAAAAACTGTTAATAATAATAACAATGAGTACATTTTCTGAAGAAATTGTGGGTGGTGCTTGCTGTGGCAACAGTCAGCACTAGGCTTCTGCTAGAGTGTTCAGGGTGGTTGCTAGGGTATTGCTATGTGGTTACTAGGTGGTTGCTAGGGTGTTCAGGGTGGTTGCTAGGGTGTTGCTATGTGGTTACTTGGAGGTTGCTACAGTAGGGTGTTCAGGGTGGTTGCTAGGGTGTTGCTTTGTGGTTACTAGGCAGTTGCTAGGGTGTTGCTTTGTGGTTACTAGGCGGTTGCTAGGGTGTTCAGGGTGGTTGCTAGGGTTTTGCTATGTGGTTACTAGGAGGTTGCTAGGCAGTTACTAGGGAGTTGCTTGGGTGTTTTGGGTGATTGCTAGGACATTGCTGTGTGGTTGCTAGGGTGTTGCTGTGGTGTTACTAGGTGGTTGCTAGGGTGTTTCTATGTGGTTACTAGGTGGTTGCTTGGGTGTTCAGGGCGGTTGCTTCGGTGTTTCTATGTGGTTACTAGGCAGTTGCTAGAGTGTTCAGGGTGGTTGCAATGGTTTTGCTATGTTGTTACTTGGAGGTTGCTAGGCAGTTACTAGGGAGTTGCTTGGGAGTTGCTAGGGTGTTGCTATGTGGTTACTAGACAGTTTCTAGGGTGTTCTGGGTGGTTGCTGGGGCTTTGCTGTGTGGTTTCTAGGTTGTGCTGGCTAATTACAAGGGAAATGTCAGTCGGTTTGCTAGGATTATCAGGGTGGTTGCTAGGGCGTTGCTGTGTGGTTGCTTGGCAGCTTCTAGGGAATTCTGGATGGTTGCTAGGGCATTGCTAGGCGGTTGATAGGGTTTTATGGGTAGTTACTAGGGCATTGCTGTGTGGTTGCTAGGGTGTTGCTAGGCATTTTGTAGAGTTCTCTGGGTGGTTGCTAGGGTGTTGCTTGGCAGTTGCTAGGTTGTTCTCAGTGGTTGCTTTGTCTGTGTTTTTCTGGTGCTGAAATATGGGTAATGCAAGACCATATCAGTGACGCTTTTCTTTTTATAATAAAGCTAAATAAATGTAATGTGTTGTTTGTTTGTGGTGTTGCAGGCGTGTTGACGCAGGGTGGCGGCGTGTTTGACACGTTTGTTTCCAGCTTCTATCTGCAGTTCAGCAACGACGGACGTCAGTGGTTCACATATAAAGAGCTGATCACAGACGCCAGACCCAAAGCTAAGGTGACACACAATCACCCAACATGAACAACAGACAAAATCTCATCTAACACTTCAATTCATGTCCCACTTAAACACTACATGCAGCAAAATAGAAACATTGATTTTTTTTCTGTTGGCTGCGGCTGCCTTCTCAAAGATGGAAAAAATATTTTGTGTAATTTTGTATTAAAGTATTTTGAATTTGTACTGCAGTACCCATTTCAACCACTAGTTGTCAAAATTATATACTGCACCTTTAAGAAATAAGTATTTATATTTCGTTTTTCTGAACGTCTCTTCCAGGTGTTTGAGGGAAACCGTGATGACCGTGGCATAGCTTTGGCCCGTCTAGACCGGATGGTGTCGGCTCGCTTCGTACGAATTCTGCCTCATGATTTTCAGAATGGAATCTATCTGAGAGTTGAAGTCATGGGCTGCGCTGATGGTATCTTTAGTTTCCCTCTCCATTGCATTTTAGGTGTCAGAACAGCAAGTGAATAGCCCTAAAGTCCATCTGAAATTCTCTGACTCTCGTTCCCATCAGAGCATGAGTGGTCAACTCCCATCCCGCCGCTACGTCCCTGTAGAGAAAGCGAGTTCCTCTGCGGTAACGGCCGCTGTGTTCCTGCTGGTCCAAAGGGGGCGCTGTGTGATGGGATCAACGACTGTGGCGACGGGACAGATGAGCTCAACTGCGGTGGGTACCAATGTTACTATCATTAACTACAACAAAAATATTCTTAAAAATCGATGATAATTTGAATAAAATAATAGCTTCATTTCTTTTAGTTGCCATTTTTATTTACTTTAGTTGGTGTAATAAAATAAAATAAAATTACTAAAAATGAAACGGAAAATAAAAATAAATAGACTATTTTTGACAAAAACCATTAAAAAAATGACAAAACAACAAAATTACTAAAACTTTAATTGAAATAAAAAACTAATTAAAAATATTAATAAATATTATAATGTTATATTAATGATATTATAAAATATCAGTGGTGGGCATAGACCCAGACTTAATCTGCTGGACAAAAAAGGGGATAAAAAAGGCCTTGATTTAGTGTTTTATAAAGCTTGAAAATATATCATTAATTATTATAATAAATTTAACCCCAGAACCAAAACAAAAAGAAATTGCATCAGATTTTACAGATTTAAATAAGAAATAACAACAAATACTGCATGTCACTAATGCATTTATTTAAAATGAAAATCGCCATTAAAAATAATGAGAATTACAAAAATTAATTGGAACTTGAAGGGAAAAAATATAAATAATGTCACAGTGCCAAACTCTTATTCATCCTAAAAATAGGCTTCAGTTTTTCCGTGCTTTTTTTTCTTGCTGAACACTTTATTTTGTTATAAATGAAATATTTCTTTTATGTTCAGGAACTCGTCCCGCTCCTACCAGAAGGCCGGCGGTCTGCCCGTCGGGTCAGTTCTCCTGTCCTCCTCCAGGAGGCTGCATTGAGGCGCAGCGCCGCTGTGATGGAGTTCCTCACTGTCCTGATGGAGCGGATGAGAGAGACTGCACACACACAAATATTACCCACGTCACCCCCACCGCCGCCCCTCTCCGGACGCCCAGCAAGAAACCCGTGACCACTCAGAGTGCCCTGACCACAACTGTGAGACTTAACCTATTAACATGTTAACTAGAATCACAGTTAAAGCAAATCTGACAATGACATGCCCAACCCAAAAGTATAGCCATATCACTTAAAAAATAATTATAATATTAAAATGTATAAAGCTAAACAAACTCTGTCATAATGCAAAGTATTTGATATTACATTTATTAAATATGCCTCATTTTCTTTCATATAATATGGCACAAATGTTGTTGCTAGAGCTTAAGTAGTACTATTGTGACTCTGCTGTCCAGAAGATTGGTTATAGTTGTGTTTTAATGAAATGTGTTTTTGTTATTAATGTTTATTAGTTGTATATCAGATACACAGTAATTGTAATTAATCCTGGAATTAAATTTTAAATTGCTTAACTATTTTTTTCTTTGCATTTCCTAGGAAGGAGGACCTGGTCAGAAAGGTAGGAACTCGTATGATATATTATTATAGTTTTTGTTAATATTCTGAATTAGATATTTTTTTTCTCTCTCTTTTCAGTTTAATTTTAGTTAAAGTTTTTAAAATGTTCTTGTGTGTTATCATTAAAAAAAAAAAACTCTATACATTTGTATTCATTTATATTTTATTTTTAGTTATTTTAGTACATCAAGTTAAACTAAATGAGAACTAAATGAGAAATCTTGCCTTGACCACTAGCTGAAATAAAATGTTTTTTGTTTTTTTTTCAGTTAAAATGTTTTCAAGTAACAAAAAAGTTTTTGTGCTATTAGTTAACCGTAATAACCTTACCTGACTCTCACCTGTCTGTCACGCATCAGGTGTCTGTTCTTCTGCTCTGGGATTGGAGGATGGGCATATCCATTATGGTCAGCTGACCTCGTCCTCATACAGAGAGAATAATCCTGCAGACGCAGGCCGGCTCAACGTCGTACCCAATGTGTGAGCGTTTTATGATGAATTAAGGTTATAAACGTATGAATGCACAAATGAAGAAAATATGACTATCATCTCATCTTGCAAATAGAATAAACAAGATCAACCACAACATGTGACATGATGCCTTTGATGACAAATGTGACCTTGGAGCACAAAAGCAGTCTTAAGTCACTGGGGTATATTTGTAGCAATAGCCAAAAATACATTGTATAGGTCAAAATTATAGATTTTTCTTTTATGCCAAAAATCATTAGGATATTAAGTAAAGATCATGTTCCATGAAGATATTTTGTAAATTTCCGACTGTAAATATATCAAAACTTAATTTTTGATTAGTAATATGCATTGCTAAGAACTTCATTTGGACAACTTTAAAGATGATTTTCTCAATATTTAGATTTTTTTGCACCCTCAGATTCCAGATTTTCAAATAGTTGTATCTCAGCCAAATATTGTCCTATCCTAACAAACCATACATCAATGGAAAGATTATTTATTCAGCTTTCAGCTGATGTATAAATCTCAATTTCGGAAAAATTGACCATTATGACTGGTTTTGTGCTCCAAGGTCATATTTGTTTGTTTTGGTGCTTCTCAGGATGGTGATGGAGCCCGGATGGAGTCCGTTACCTGGAGACCCTCATCCGTATTTCCAGGTGGATTTCCTGGAGCCCACGTGGATTTCAGGTGTGGTGACGCAGGGTAGTGAACGCATGTGGGGATACCTGAGCAAATACAGACTGGCCTTCGCTTTAGTGGAGAACCACTTCCTCAACTTCACTGAGACTGGAGACAGAGGCTCTCCTCCGAAGGTAATCAAACCCATGAATTTGCCATTAGGATTGAGCTGTGCTGGTTAAAATGAAAGTTAGCTGATTTAGGAATGAAATGGATGTGTAAATGAAGTGTGTTGTTGTGTCCGTGTCAGATATTTGAGGTGAGGATGGTCAGCCGGACGCCCGTCACACGCTGGTTGGACAGATTGGTCCGAGCTCGGTTTCTCCGGATCATTCCTGTAGAGTTTCGCCACACTTTCTACCTCCGTGTGGAGGTGCTGGGCTGTAGAGGAGGTACAACTGCTGCCTGCTGGTGTTTCTTTTTAGTTTTCATTACCTGGGTGAATCAAGTGACCAGGTCATAATTCATACCACATTAAAAACAACAGAAAAAAATTATTTTACATAAAAACGTTTAATCATATTTTGATGACAATTACTTTTTTTTACATTGTTACATTGACATTATCATGACAATTAAACACACTAAAATCCCAAACATTACCATAATGCAATGTTATTTTAGTATTACTGGTATATTTTTTACATTTTATTTTCATTTTAATTTTAGTTACAGTTTTAGTTATTTTGTTATGTTTTTGTCATTTTTACTATTTTTTTAATATCCATACCTCTCTCTCTCTCTCTCTCGCTCTAAATTATACTTTTTTGTTCCAATTTTAATTTTATTTATTTTTATACTTCAAGTTAAACTAAATGAAAATGAGAAATGTTGCCTTGGCAACTAGGTGAAAATAAAATCATTTAAATTTTTACAAATATTTTATTTCAGTTATAGAACATTTATCATGTAACAAACATTGGTGTTTATGGTGTTAGTTTTAGTTACCAATAATAACTTTGCTATAATCCAAAATGCCATAAAAAATATATATATATTATTATGCCATAATAAAAAACAAAACAAACAAAAAAAATTCCCATTACATTAATGCCATTTTTAATTATATATTTTAAATAATATAATTATTTGTATACATTTTAAATAAAAATAGCAAATGTTAATTAATTCTATGCATGCAATATAATTTATTACAGTTTTTTTCAACTGCTTACACAAAATCTTTACTTGTCACACAGTTTCTGAAAGCTGACACTCAAACACCAGAACCACACACCAAATCTGCAAAACCATACACTAATTCATGTGTGAAATTCTTGGATTTGTGTGTAAAGTAAAAAAAAAAAAGGCAAATACTTCAAGTTAAACTAAATGAAAATGAGAAATGTTGCCTTGGCAACTAGGTGAAAATAAAATCATTTAAATTTTTACAAATATTTTATTTCAGTTATAGAACATTTATCATGTAACAAACATTGGTGTTTATGGTGTTAGTTTTAGTTACCAATAATAACTTTGCTATAATCCAAAATGCCATAAAAAATATATATATATTATTATGCCATAATAAAAAACAAAACAAACAAAAAAAATTCCCATTACATTAATGCCATTTTTAATTATATTTTTTAAATAATATAATTATTTGTATACATTTTAAATAAAAATAGCAAATGTTAATTAATTCTATGCATGAAATATAATTTATTACAGTTTTTTTCAACCGCTTACACAAAATCTTTACTTGTCACACAATTTCTGAAAGCTGACACTCAAACACCAGAACCACACACCAAATCTGCAAAACCATACACTAATTCATGTGTGAAATTCTTGGATTTGTGTGTAAAGTAAAAAAAAAAAAGAGGCAAAGTTTTGAAAATGTGTGTAAGCAGTTGAAAAAAAACTGTAATTAATACATTTTAAACAACGTTAATGGTCCTAGAAAATAGCCTTTTTTAGCATTTTCTTTAAGCATTATATGATGCAATGTGTAATATATGTAATCTTATCTATTATATCAACCTCAGAAGAAAAAAAAATTGGTTGCAACTAACAGAGTTATTATTTTCATTGTTCTGTTCAGATGAGTTGGTCACACCCAGGAGTGAAGTGACCACAGCGCCACCTGGTGTTCCAGGATTACAGACCCACACCGGCCCAACGGGACATCCTGGTCACTATAACTACACCTCTGGACGTCCCGGACTTCACACCACGAGTCCACAGGACGGCAGCCCAGGAGTAGCTCCACCGACCCACATCACAACAGCGCCACCTGCTGTCGGTCCGACGGGAGAACCGGGCGTTCATGTTCTGACGCCTACACCCTTCTTCAACACGACAGGTGTGTGTTTGTGTGTTTGACACAGCAGGTGCTGGTGTATAACAATAGTAAATGCTTTCAAAATACTGTGATCCATTTTCGAAAGGATTCTGGGATACATCTACACCCCCTGATGATGGCTTACCCAGAGTTGTGTGCGTGGAAGGACAGTTCGCCTGCAGGACGTTTGGTTGTGTGGAAGCTGCTCTTGTGTGTGACGGCCGTGAGGACTGTCCCGACGGATCCGATGAAGATCGCTGTGGTAAAAATAAAACATTTATTTTGCTAATTACATGCCATCAGTGTTGAGGAAGCTGCATAGAAGCTGCTAATCATAACTGAAGTAGTTAAATTACAGTCAGGTTGCCCTTCTGAAAAAGTACTAGCTAATTATCTTGAAGTTATTTAAGAGCTTTATCTTTTTAAATAATGAGCTGTCAGAACTGTGATATAATTTATTTCCGCATGCAGGATATTATTTATCTTGCACAAAAACAGTGAGGATGTCAATTAAGGTAACAGCATTAGATGCATTTATACCAAATATGCAGAAATAAAACATCCTGATTTCTACATACAAGGTCAAGCATCAACAACAAACAACAGCATTTCACTTAATATACAAATGTGACATATTATTTTAGTGTTATTTATGTACTTTTATAATATTTATTAATATTTTGAATTAGCTTTTATTTTTATATTTTCAGTTTTCATTCTAATTTTGTTTTAGTAATTTTGTTATGTGCATTTGTAATTTTTATTAATTTTGGGGTTATTTTAATAGTAATTTATTTAATAATTAATTTATTTTTATTTTCAAATTTAGTACTCCAGCATAAACTTATTTCAGTTCTTTGCCAAGTTTTTCATTTAATATTTATATTTCAGTTTAATTTCATTTACTGAAAATTATTTATTTATTATTATTTTTCAACACTGTTACAATTATTCAGGTGATTCAGTACGTTGTTAAAAATGTTTTTATAAACTGTCTGATTTGTTTATGTAGTTATACTAACCTTAAACTTATTTTAAAAAGTTTTTAGAATTAAAAGCAAATATTTGCTTTATTTATCATGTATTGTTTCATTTGAATTGTTTTTCACATTTTACACTCACAACACTTTTTGTAATGCACTTTTATTTTATTTTATTTTATTTTATTTTTAATGAACCAGTAAAGGCCAAGCTGAAAATGCATCTACTAAATGAATACATGTGTTATTTGTAATAGTGTTGACTCTCCTAACACATATTAAAACCATTCATTGACCATTTATAATATTCTTTAATAAATATTCTTCTTATAATAGTCTCAATCACAGAAACATGAATAACACTAATCTCTGTCCTCAGGGTCCGTCACACCCTCTCAGCACCCCCTGCTGCCCAAACTCTGCTCCTCCAAACAGTTCAGCTGCTGGAGCGGCGAGTGTGTGAGTTTGGAGAAGAGATGTGACCTGCGCAGAGACTGTGCTGACGGCTCGGACGAGAGCGACTGCTGTGAGTCCAGAAACACACATCTCAGATGTTTATGTGTGAGCTGATCTCAGGTCAGGTGCATTGTGGGATTGAGAGCTCTGTTTGTGTCCTGCAGTCGACTGTATTCTGTCTCCCTGGACGTCCTGGAGTCAGTGCAGCGTGTCGTGTGGTCTGGGGTCGCTTTTCCGCCAGAGGAACATCCTGAGAGACGCCCGGTCGGGCGGATCCTGCGGCGGCGCTCAGTTCGACAGCCGCGCGTGTTTCCTGCAGGCCTGTCCTGGTACAAACATGTTTCTGTATTAACACTCATAATGCATTCAAAACCTGCATACTGTTTTTGCATTCGACATAATATTATAAAACAGTCAGAATTAAAAGACTTTTCAGCTGAAACCAGATTTTCTCATCAGTGAGTGAATTTGCAAACATTTCAAAGTTTTGAATGTTATTGTGTTATTACTACAGTTACCCGGTTTTCTTTTTCTAGACATTTTTGGAATTGCAAGTTATACATGAACTATAGCAATGCAAGAAAAACATATTGCATATATGCATGAGAAATTTATATTTGAATATATCATTATATGAAGTTTATAAAAACAAATAATCTGAGAATTGCCATTGTTAGCATAATTAATTATTGAAATGAATTGAATTGAATTAAACTCCTTTGAACTCGTAACTGAAAAACAGTCATAATTTATGAAACATATATGCACAATTTTTTTTTACAAAACAACATAAATGTTACCATGGAATTTTTTAAAACAAAATATATTCATTTGACTTGAAAAAGCCATGGCTTCCAGATGAAAAAGATGATTCTTTTTTTCATGCGGGATCATCAATATGCAAAGTGAAATGTGGACTTTAATTTTTAAAAATATTTTTTATTGTACGTTTTTTAAATAGTTTATTTGTTATGTCACTTATATTCGTTATGTGTTTTGTGTGTGTGTATATTCATGCGTATCACTAAAATTCAGTTCTAAAAGTGTGTGAGAAATATGGGAAAGAGGCTACATATATTATAATAATACATTATTATTATATGTTATACATACCTTTTCCAGGTATTTGATAACAATAAATAAAAGTTCTAGTAATATTAATAATAATATATATGTTAAATTATAGTCATTTGAAAAGGAAATAATTTTAAATATTTTAATAATATTTATGTAATTTATGTAATGTAATTATTATTTTAATTATTATTTCTTAAAAAAAATTTAAAAAAAGATGTGCATTTTGACAGTCTTAACCCATTTTTGTTTTCATTTCATCAAATTGGATTTTTTTTAAAGTTCCTCTTCTGGGTCCAAACTGAGCTGAATGTGCTCATATCTCTGAAAACCTCCCTTAATCGCAGTAAAATCACTGTAACGCACGGATTCGAGGCTCATTGTTCTCTCTTATGAATTCTCAGTGGACGGTCAGTGGTCGGAGTGGACGCAGTGGTCCGGTTGTGACGTCCCGTGTGGTGGAGGACTGATGGTGAGGAACAGGACCTGCTCGAACCCTCCGCCCAAAAACGGTGGGAGAGACTGTGAGGGGATGAGCAGACAAACACACACGTGTAACACGCAGACCTGCGGCCCAAACACAGACACACAGAGCGGTGAGCGCTGCACATGCTGCACGGTGGTTTAAAAAGCATGCATGACTGTTATATGCAGTTATATTTTGCTATAGTGCAACAGAAATTCTGTTATTCTGAAATGTAGACTATTATTTGTAGTTTATTGTATGCTCTTGTTGAATGAGGTTGTTTGCTGCAGGCTGCACTGGAGGAATGATCCTGGTGGAGGAGTCGGATTGTTTGGCTGGAAAAATCAAGCCGTGTCCTGTGACCTGCTCTGACCTTCATTCTGAGAGGAACTGCACCTTAAACTGCACTACAGGTACAACCTCACCTCCTTTTTAAGGCTGTTAATATGAAAATAATTTATTACAATTAATCAGTTTTTTTATGTATTGTCCTCTAGTATTGTATCTAGAATCTCAAATGATTTATATATTGATGTAAATTATCAATACAGATATGCAGACCTAGTATATTTATAAAATAAATAAATATATATATTTTATTTAATTTTTTACGTTTAATTTTTATTGTGTTTTATTTTAATAATATTAATTATTAATAATTATTATACTGATAATAATACGTATATATTGTAGAGTATAGAAATATAGTAATTTGAAAAAGAAATTATTATTATTAATAATTATTCAAATTTATTATATTAAATGTATTATTTTAATACAAATAAATAATTAAATGTAATAATAATAATACTTTGTTATTTAAAATGTATTAAATAATTTCAATATATTATTTTAATAACGATAAATAATTTCTTATTTTAATAATATTTAATAAGCCATTTTAATTTTGTATTTTAAAAATAATAAATTATTATTACAAAGAGAAAGGCCAAAAGAGAAGTGATAATATATGATTTATGTATATATGTTTGTTCTTTTGTTGGTTAGGATGTCGTTGTCCTCATAAGCTCTTACTGCAAGAGGGCCGTTGTGTCAATGCCAGTGAATGTGAGTGTTTATGGGAAGGTTCGGTCATCCGGCCTGGTCAGGACGTCAGTAACAGCAGCTGCAGCACATGGTCAGTAGATTCAATTGATTGCTGAGCTGTTCTTCTGATGATCTGGCAGTGTTTAATGCTGTAAATGCATGTCGTGATGTTTGATCCAATCACACAGTGTGTGTAAAGAAGGTCGTGTCACCTGTGATGAATCCAGCTGTGCCGCTCGCTGTGATTGGTCGGCCTGGTCTTCATGGACGTCATGTGACAGCAGCTGTGGGACAGGAATAGAGCACCGTTACAGGTGGACTGACTGGTTCATGAACCATTTAGTGAAGTTATATTCTGCAGTGTTTCTATGCATGTAAAAACCAGCAGGAAAACATGTTTTATTACATTGAAAAATACATTTTTATTGATATTTTGAATGATTATATAAGTCATCTATATGCCGTTTCTCCACAGATCTCCTCTGAGTCCAGTGGGAGCGGGGAATGTGGAGCCGTGTGAAGGAGACTCTACTGAAGCCCGTCGGTGCTACTCGTCCTGCTCAGAGGGTAACCTCAAATCAAACTGTTAGCGTATAACACTAGTGTTAGTGCAGATGATGACTGTGAGGTGTGCAGGTCCTGAGGGAGTGTCGTGGAGCGAGTGGACGCTGTGGTCCGAGTGCAGTAAGACGTGTTTTCATCATGTGGACGCCGTGGGACTGAGGCGGCGCTTCAGGAGCTGTAATCACACACTCACCGGCGCCTCCTGTGGAGGAGAGGCGGAAGAACACGAGCCGTGCAACACCATCCACTGCCCCGGTACATCTCAAAACACACTTCATTATAGCATTGGAAATTAGACTTCTTTGTCTTGCTCATTTGCTCTTAGTTGCAAAGATGCATACAATTCAGTTCAATTCGAGTTTATTTGTATAGCGCTTTTCACGATACAAATCATCGCAAAGCAGCTTTACAGAAAATGTAAGTTTCTATTTTAAAGTTAAGTTAAAGTAGTAGCTTATCAGTGGTGACTATGTCAAGTTGATGTCCATATGGCAGAAATGTACAGTAAAATTCATAGAGCTTTTGATGAGTTGACGTTTCACCATATCACAATTTTTTCTTTCAAATTTAAACAATAAATAAATACTAAATTAATTTTAAAAAAGACCAAATATGTTGATAGTCTATTTTTTAATTTCAGAGTAAAGGCAAATTTTACCTAAACATTATTCTAATATGGTAACTTAATTAAGCCTAAAATAAACAATCAAATGAAATATAAATATTAATAATATATAATATATAGCTTATTATTAACAGTTATTATTATTATTATTATTAATTATTAACAGTTAGTTTTCAAAGCAACATTTGCAATTTTCATTGAAGCACTAAAATTAAAACTGAAAATAATATTAACAAAACTAAAACTGAACTAAAACTAGACCTTAAAATTAAATGATGACAAAAATGACAAAAGCACACAACAAAATTGCTAAAAATTTTACTAAAATGAAAATGAAAACTAAACTAAAACTGAAATTAAAATCAATTAAATGTAAATAGTAGTATAAAAAACCCAATAAAAATTACAAAAGCACATACAAAAATAGCTAAAAATGTAACCTGTTAAATTAAAATGAAAACTGAACTAAAACTAAAGCTAAAATAAAAATAAATAGTACTAAATAAACTTTTATTTATTTTATTTTTACTGTTTATTAAAATAAATAAACTAAATAGTAATAATTAAAAACAAAAAATGTTAAAAATATAACTAAAATTAAAATTGTGTAGTATAAAAAACATAAGATAAAAGGTAATTCACATTAAGAAATTATAAAACTAAAATGAATAAAAATAAAATGATAAAATTAATAATACAAAATAAATAATACCTACAGTATTACCAAATAAAAATCTTATAAAAAGAAAATCATTTAATTCTTTATTACAGTGGAAACAAATACGAAATGTAATTAATCTTCAAAAAAAAAAAATCACTATTTTTGTCCATAAAAAAAACAAACAAACCGAAAATCCTCTATACTTTTACAAGCTCAAGCGCTGCAGTTTCTGTGATAGTTTGTCTCTGGTGTGACACTAGTGAACGGCGGCTGGTCGTCCTGGTCGAGCTGGTCTGTGTGTTCGTCTGAGTGTGACTCTGGTGTTCAGACGAGAGAGCGCTTCTGCAGTTCTCCTCCGCCGCTGTACGAAGGCCTCGGCTGTCCCGGGCCGCACATACAGACACGAGACTGCAACGTCCAGCCCTGCTCTGGTAAATCACGCTATTAAACCTGCTGGAGCCTCTGCATAGCTTCTGCTGATGTGTGTGTTTGACTGGTGTGTGTGTGTGTGTGTGTGTGCTGCAGGTGTGTGTCCAGACGGCATGAGCTTCCTGTCTAAGGCTCAGTGCGAGGCTCAGGGCGGCGCGTGTCCACGAGTGTGTCTGGATGCCACGGTGGATGTGGAGTGTGCCACCGAGTGTTATGATGGCTGTTACTGCTCTCCTGGTTTCTATCTGTTCAATAACACCTGTGTGCCTCTCTACCGCTGCCCGTGTTACCATAAGGGGGCGCTGTACATGCAGGGAGACAGCGTGCCCAACGACAGCTGTAACAACTGGTAACCTACTTTAAATTCATATTTTTATTCAGCAAGGATGCATTTAATTGATCAAAAGTGACATTTATAATGTTACAGATGATTTCTGTTTCAAATAAATGCAACTTTCTATTCATCTGTGAATCCTGAAAAATAAAAGAAAACTAAACTAAAACTGAAATTAAAATCAATTAAATGTAAATAGTAGTATAAAAAACCCAATAAAAATTACAAAAGCACATACAAAAATAGCTAAAAATGTAACCTGTTAAATTAAAATGAAAACTGAACTAAAACTAAAGCTAAAATAAAAATAAATAGTACTAAATAAACTTTTATTTATTTTATTTTTACTGTTTATTAAAATAAATAAACTAAATAGTAATAATTAAAAACAAAAAATGTTAAAAATATAACTAAAATTAAAATTGTGTAGTATAAAAAACATAAGATAAAAGGTAATTCACATTAAGAAATTATAAAACTAAAATGAATAAAAATAAAATGATAAAATTAATAATACAAAATAAATAATACCTACAGTATTACCAAATAAAAATCTTATAAAAAGAAAATCATTTAATTCTTTATTACAGTGGAAACAAATACGAAATGTAATTAATCTTCAAAAAAAAAATCACTACTATCACTATCACTATAAAAAAAACAAACAAACCGAAAATCCTCTATACTTTTACAAGCTCAAGCGCTGCAGTTTCTGTGATAGTTTGTCTCTGGTGTGACACTAGTGAACGGCGGCTGGTCGTCCTGGTCGAGCTGGTCTGTGTGTTCGTCTGAGTGTGACTCTGGTGTTCAGACGAGAGAGCGCTTCTGCAGTTCTCCTCCGCCGCTGTACGAAGGCCTCGGCTGTCCCGGGCCGCACATACAGACACGAGACTGCAACGTCCAGCCCTGCTCTGGTAAATCACGCTATTAAACCTGCTGGAGCCTCTGCATAGCTTCTGCTGATGTGCGTGTTTGACTGGTGTGTGTGTGTGTGTGCTGCAGGTGTGTGTCCAGACGGCATGAGCTTCCTGTCTAAGGCTCAGTGCGAGGCTCAGGGCGGTGCGTGTCCACGAGTGTGTCTGGATGCCACGGTGGATGTGGAGTGTGCCACCGAGTGTTATGATGGCTGTTACTGCTCTCCTGGTTTCTATCTGTTCAATAACACCTGTGTGCCTCTCTACCGCTGCCCGTGTTACCATAAGGGGGCGCTATACATGCAGGGAGACAGCGTGCCCAACGACAGCTGTAACAACTGGTAACCTACTTTAAATTAATATTTTTATTCAGCAAGGATGCATTTAATTGATCAAAAGTGACATTTATAATGTTACAGATGATTTCTGTTTCAAATAAATGCAACTTTCTATTCATCTGTGAATCCTGAAAAATAAAATGTATCACAGTTTCCACAAAAATATCGGGCAGCACAATTGTTTTCAACATTGATAATAATCAGAAATTTTTCTTGAGCTGCAAATCATCATATTAGAATGATTTCTGAAGATCGTGTGACACTGAAGACTGGAGTAATGATGCTGAAAATTCAGCTGCGCATCACAGAAATAAAATACATTTTAACATACATTCACATAGAAAACAGCTATTTTAAATTGTAATAATATATCACAATTTATACTGTATTTTTGAGCAAATAAATGCAGCCTTGTGCAAAAACTCACTTTTTGACCTTTGACCCTTTTTTCAACAAGATTTGTCTAATTTTGAATTCAATACATTTTTGAATGCTTAAATATTCACTTAAATAGTCAATGCATTTTTAAAAGTAAAAAAAATTCATATATTTAAAAAAAAAAAAAAGCATATATTTTAAATGGTCTTGAATTAATTATAGTGTGATACTACATAATACTGCTATAATATTACAGAAACATGTCAACCACCCTTGAGATTTTTCAGTGTTGTCAAGTTATGATAATGATAATAGTTTATCACTTTTCGTGTGACATGTATATTCAGCTTCCCTGTTGATTTCGTCTGACAGTCTCTTTGTGTTTGCTCACAGCACGTGTGTTAATGGAGAGATGCAGTGTGGAACAGCGCCCTGCCCTGGTGAGGATCACACATCACACCCTCTGCACCATATCTGTTTTTCATCTACCTATAGGCTGGGAAGGGTTTTCCCATCTGCTTTTATTCCTTCTCATCCTCTGCAGTGGATTGTGGGTGGAGTGAGTGGACGGCCTGGAGCGCATGCAGTCGCACATGTGACGTGGGCATCAGACGCCGCTACCGTTCAGGAACCGATCCAGCGCCGGCGTTTGGTGGCCGTGCGTGTGAGGGCGAGCGCATCGGACTGGACACATGCAGCATTACACCTTGTTTCGGTACAGTGACCCCATGACAACACATGACAAAGACTTTCTGCGATTAAGAGTTCAACGCAGGTCAATAACATCATAAAAGCTTTAATGGCACACAGCGATTTACAATTAGACACACAAATATATTTGCAATAAATGTTAACTAAAAAAAACTAACAGATTTTTTAGTCTTTGTTGATTAACTAACAAAAACAAAAAATAAAATAAAAAATATATTTTTTAAAAACTTTATGGACATATTAAAAAAAATAAAATTGACAAAAGCAACAAATTTACTAAAACTTTAACTAAAATGTAAATAAAAAATTTAAAATGTTAAAATGAAAACTAATGCAAAATATTATTGAAAGCTATAATAGTATCTCAGTGCTAAAAAAATACGTTTTTTTTGTGATTTTTTAAAAATGTACACATCAATTTTGATGCAGCATACATGTAACAATAACATACATGATATTTATGCATATAATGCAAAAAAAAAATTATATAAAATTTCTAAAGCAAAATAAAATATACTGTATATAAAATAAATGATTGAAATTAAATAATAAATTGTATATACGTTACTAAATTAAAATAAATATAAAATAAAAAATATAGATATAAAATAATGAAAAAATACATAAATAAATAGAAAAGCTAAGTGTGAAGGCCTGTTTGCTAGGTGCCATTCGGTATTTTAATGCATTAATAAAAATGCAGAACTGTTTGTGTTTGTGTGAATGTGAATGACGCAAATTTTGCAGGGTGAAGCCACACCTTACATTTACTTTATCCAAAGAGACTTACAATTGGAGAATACATGAATAATGAATAATTATACTAATAATTAATGAATAATTATGAGGCGTCACTGATTTATTCCAAAATATGGTTCAAACCACTCAAGGCCTATAAAACAGAAAATCATGAGCCTCTATCCAGGAGGTCTGACCCTGTGAAGTGACTGTGCATGTGATCTTTGTGGTCTCTGTGTTCAGGAGTGAAGGGCCCGTGGAGCCCGTGGTCCGAGTGTTCGGTTCCCTGCGGCGGAGGATACAGGAGCAGAACCAGAGGTCCGGTCAGGACTCACGGGACGCCTCAGCAGTTCAGCGCCTGTAACCTGCAGCCCTGCGGTCAGTGACGCACACGTGTGTGTTTGTGTGAGCTGAGTCCTGGAACCTCATCATTTCTGTCTGTGTGTGTGATCTCAGGGAATGGAAGCGCTTGTACAGAAGGTCAGGAGTGGGTCGCGTGTGTGAGAGAGGAGCTGCTGTGCTCAGATTTGGGGACGGAGGTCCAGAGAAACACCAGCTGTCTGCCTGGGTGCCAGTGTCCCGATGGGTCGGCCCTACAGGTGTGTGTGTGTGTGTGTGTATATCTGATTATGTCTGTGAAGAGTCTGTGAGTGTGTATCTGTCATTTGTGTGTGTGTGTGTTTCAGGATGGCGAGTGTGTGTCTCTGTCGCTCTGTCGCTGTCATGTTGATGGAGAGCAGCACAAACCCGGAGCCACAGTCACCAAAAACTGCAACAACTGGTAACAACACAGCACTAAATTATAGATAGATTATAGAACATAAGCGATATATTTTATTATTTTTAAATTAATAATAATTTTAACATGTATTTACCAGTAATGCCTATATGAATATATAAGTATTTTTAAAATGTAAAATGTTAATATATTTAATTGGTAGAATATTTTTTTTAATTACTGAAAGTCTTAAAAACTTTGAAAACATAAGCGATATAATTTTATCCTATAATATCATTCTTTCTTAATAATTAATTATTTTTAATGCATTTAACAGTAACACATAAGAATACATATAAAATGTCAATATATTTTAGTGAAAGTTTGTAATTATTATTTTTTATTTAACAGTTGTACATATATGAATGTGTAACATATGTGACCCTGGAGCACAAAATCAGTCATAATGGTCAATTTTTCGAAATTGAGATGTATGCATCATATGAAAGCTGAATAAATAAGCTTTCCATTGATGTATGGTTTGTTAGGATAGGACAATATTTGGCTGAGATACAACTATTTGAAAATCTGGAATCTGAGGGTGCAAAAAAATCAGAATATTAAGAAAATCATCTTTAAAGTTGTCCAAATGAAGTTCTTAGCAATGCATATTACTAATCAAAAATTAAGTTTTGATATATTTACAGTAGGACATTTACTAAATATCTTCATGGAACATGATCTTTACTTAATATCCTAATGATTTTTGGCATAAAAGAAAAATCAATAATTTTGACCCATACAATGTATTTTTGGCTATTGCTACAAATATCCCCCAGCGACTTAAGACTGCTAATGATTAACATATATGTTAATGTTAATTTTTTTATAAATAGATAGAATACCTTATTAAAAAGCCTTAAAAATACAATATATTTTATAATTTTCAATAATAATAATTATTATTATTAATAAAACAATTATAAATAAAAATAATATTAATCAAATATATATTTTTATATTATTAATAATATTTTAATAATACTAATAATTATTGGTAATTATTTTTAATTATGCATTTAATGAGATTGCATATGATATGACCATATAAATGTAAAACAGTGTTATTTATTCATTATGTATTTTCTTTCTGCAGCACGTGTGAATCAGGAAAGCTGGTGGACTGTATGAGTGTGGAGTGTGACGGTAAGAGGTTTAGAGACGCTCTCGTGTTGTAACACACTCTCTGATGTGTGTGTGAGACTCTGTGTGTGTGTTTCAGTGGATGGCGGCTGGTCGTCCTGGACTCCGTGGAGTGTGTGCTCTGTGACGTGTGGCGCTGGTCTGCAGTCGCACTATCGCTTCTGTTCGGATCCGGAGCGAGCTGGGAACGGACTGCCCTGTGTGGGACCGGACCGAGAGGACAGAGTGTGCACTTCAACACCCTGCAGCCGTGAGTGAGAGATATATATACAGTCAGACCTAAATTCATTCAGACACCTTCAACATTTCTCACATTATCAGTTTATTCGCTATAGTTTAGAAAATGGTAATAAAATATGACAAGAACTCAGAGTTAAACTGTGTCAGAGCAAATTCATCTTGATAATGTCAGATAACGTTGATTGAAAGGTATGTAATGAATTCGGTTGAATAGCTGTCAGCTGTTAAATTTAAGTATACTATTAGATAATACCAATTTAGCTCAACCAATTACCAAGCAATGCTTCATTTTGTTCAGTCTGTCTGTGGTGTAAAAAGGTCGCATCAGTTTTACTGGTAGTCCACTGTATAAAGAATTTTTGGGTATAATATGTCACTGTTTACTTTATTTTGCTATCCTCACTTAACATAAATTAACTATATGTCCTGCAACCACTAGAAAAAAATATCAAAAATTATAATAATAATTTAATATAATAATAATATAATATAATATAATTTAAAAAAAAATTTAATTTATATATACATACATATATATATATATATATATATATATATATATATATATAT